CTTGGATTGAGTGTATACTCCATATCTCGAAGTCTGATTAGGCGTGTCTATGGGTTTGACGTGGCGGCCGCCGCACTTGATAGAAGTTGCGCGGATAAGCTGCTTCCAGCATGCTTTGCTGATATCCAGCGGAGTATGTTAGAAACAGCCTATCCACACGGCTTCTATCAAGTGCGGCGACGGCCACGTCAAATCCATAGCCACGCCTGACTTACGATTGGAGATGTGGACTGCATATGGGGTCCTTCTTTAAAATGAGATCGCAGTACCGTAATCGTTTCGGACGTTCTATGCTGTAATGTAAATTGTAAAGATGGCGTTTAGGTGGGTCGTTGGGTCAGCGTATCGACTAGCCAATGATGGTGCAAGTGTAGGAGCTAGCGTTGGTGCTTCGACACAGAACACTACCTCTTTTCCCGAAGATATAGTGCAACTGGCTCGCCGAGCCAAAATGAATACGGAGGTCCGAAGGAACATTTTCTGCACCGTAGGTAGGTCGTTCAGTTTGAAAGTAAAGATCGATTGCATTGTTACTTCCTTTTTTGTTGTTGGAGGATAATCCTTACCTTAACAAAGACCTTCTCAAACTCAACTTTCAGCTACATCCGACGACGAGGATTCGGCTTTCGAACGCCTCGTTCGCCTCTCCCTGAAGGGTCAGCAGGAGCGTGAAATCATTTATGTACTGATCATGATGTCGCTGAAGGAGAAAAATTTCAATGCTTTCTATCCGATGCTGATTGCGCGGTTTTGCGACTTTGATAAGCGTTTTGTGGTTAGTTATTTTTGGTGGTTACTTTTCATACATCTTCTGTAGTTGTATTGCTGTCACTTGACCCTTTTGGCCCTTGTGGTGGCAGTTGCCATCACGGCGCGACAGCATATGCTATTACTCACTGCTAGAGGTCTCTTAAGACCTCTTTCCGATGAAATTTTTTCCCTAAAAGTAATTCAGGGGGGAGGGTTGAGCGTTCTCATTGCATATTGATGGGTTCACGGAATCGCTTCTAAGTAAGTGGTCCGCAAGTGCAGTTGCTTTTTGGTCAACTACTGTGTCAAAAATGCAGATTTAACGCTGAATGGATTGATTAGAGTCAATTCCAGTAAGTCTATAATAATGTTGTTAGCTCGGATACTAGGTAATATATTGGAATCACAGTTTGTTCTTGATAGTGGTACAGCCAGTTATCCGCTTCTACTGGCCCCAGTGAAAGAGCTGGAAAGAAATATTATCGGTATTGACTCGTAAAAAGTTGAGTATTTGAAAGTTAGAACAAAACGGACTATCTATAACTGTTTTCAGCTAACGACGCAGTATGCTCTATGGGATCGTATTCGAGAGGTGGATTCACTCAAACTTCGGGCTCGTACTCGTCTGGCGGATTTGATTCATCACCTAATCTCGAATGAAGTGTTACCGATCACCATTCTGAAGGTATTGACAACCCTTTCAATTCTCATATGGAATTCGATTCCGCTACCAGCTAGAGCTGCTATGCTATGATATACCATTTTCAATAGGGGTGAACCGCATTTTACCCAATTCTCAAGGGGCGGATCGCATTTGGGCTTTTGTCGGGGAGGGGGAGGGGGTATTTTGTGTTCTGGGTGTTGGTGATAGTGGAGGTTGTATTTGAGGTTATAAGAGGTGTCGAGGGTGGACGGAAGGAGTTGGGTGTCGTGTCATGGAGGGTGAGGGGAAGGCGAGAGTCGTTTCGTTTCTTGAAACGTTCGGATGCTTAGTGAAATCTCACGCAGGATGCATGCAAAATAAAAGGGTTTTGCTGTTTGATCAGCCATTTTTCCCTCCCACTCCCTCTTCCATAGCCTTTCTGTTGCCGGCTGTTTGGTAGGGCAAAGTGAACGGAGTTGCAATTTGTCGACTGACCTGGGGCGGTATTCAATCCTTCCCCCAGGGGGATATATCCCCCTACTCTGATTCAATCCTCTGGGGGGACAAAAAAGGGTTGCGTCATAGGACCTCGCATACCTCTGTGTTTCTACCTGCCAGACAGTTAGAGCAGCGCGACCCTCAGGGAAAAGAGTGCTTCAGCGCGACCTATCAGGGAAAGAGTGCTTCAACAGTGGAGGGCAGTCGCGCTGCTCTTAACGGTCCCTAGGGAAGGATTAAGCACGGCCCTGAGAATCCGATATCATAAAAACAGTCGTGGTGGTGAGGGTGGTGGTCGGAGTGAGGAGAGCGGGTCGCATTGCGGACTTTTTTCCCGTTCCCAAGGCTGACGAAGGTGGGACAGGTCGTAAGAGCACATTGCGGACCCTGTTTCCTTGTCAAAGGGGTGGGGCAGGCGTGAAAGTTCTTGAAAGCGAAACAACGGACGGTTGACTCTGTTTCCAAGTTCAGCTGTTATGCTCGCTCCAGCAGGTTGGTCTAGCCCCTTAACGACTTCTCATTTATGTGAAATCTGAATTAATATCAGTTGTTACCAATAAAATTTTGTACTTTAATTGGATTTTGTTAAGGTGGTGGAGTGGGGCACATTGACAGCTGGTGTGTCCTCGGTGATTCGCAGAGTCTTCAAACTTCTATCTTCTTCATCCGTCACTAAAGTTCGTCGGGTCTTTACACCGTTACTCGTTAATAAGGATAAAAATTCATTGTTAATAGAAGGTTTGCGGTTATTCTTGAGTGTGAATTTCCCAGATAGTGAAGTTTATACGAAAATTGAGGAGTCTTTGTTTAGCAGTTGAAAAATGCGTAAGTGTCCTTGTTGTTGTTTTTATAAAAATGTTATTGATCTTTTGTTACATCCACTGTTATGTTGTTATTGTTTTGATTCTCATGAAAATGAATAAATTTATATTTTTATGTGAACAATTTGATTTGGTGATATGTTATTATTCATTTTCCTACATGGTGGAAAATTATAATTTCAAGCGATTGAGCTCTTGGCTTTACTTATTGGAATGCGCCACGTATTTGAACTCTATTCGACGTCTTATCCGTTTGAGCATTCATGGGGCCTAAACAACTGTTTGAGGGGCAGTTAAAGGCAAAGCTAACGATTACAGAAAAGGGGTAACTCAAATATGAAGTTATGGATGCTAAGTTACTTGTTATTTATGAAGCAAAAAAAAAACGAAAGAACCCTTTTAGAGGCGGAGTTTTTTGATGGGAAGGGGCTAATTAGTGATGGAGGTAGAGGTGGTTCTATGGTGCAGGAATGAAGAAAAAACATGAGAAACGGCCCAGAACCCGAGAAATGGGACCCTTTCTTGCCCGTTGATTTCCGCATTGATGCGACTCTCATCGGTGCTGCCCTCTTCAACGCTAACGCTCTCTCTGCTAACGGCTAGAGTCAGACGGCGAGAGTAGGCGCGCCGCATCGCGAAAGGTGCAGGTGTTTCCTTGCTCGGCTGCTGAGGGCTTTTGTTCGTGTTCAAGCGCATCGTCCCATGCTCGTAGGGGCCTTCCTTGCCTTTCGACGAGGTATATTCCTCCTTCTTTAACTTCCGAGCTTATTGTGGAATCCTCCTTTGAGAAGCAACACACATT